TTCACTGCCCTAGGCTTCCCAAATTTTTGCATTTACAACACATTTTTTTTCTCTTTATTTTCTTTTTATTTTTGATTGAGCAACAATCTCAGACACTCATCATTCTCCTTTTTTTTTTTTTTTTTTTCTAGTAGCCTCCGCTCTCTTTCTAAATTGTAAATAATATTAATTCTGAGATAACCGAGGTAAGGTAAAAATATATATATAATTTTAATTTTGTGGTTGGGAAATAAATTTTTAATTTTTTTCAGCTCAAACACGGTTTCAAGGGATAATAAAAAGAAAGAATAGGATAAGACTCAAATCTTTTCAAACACGTCATATTTTCACTTCTCAAAAATATATGGCAAGTATTTCTTGCATTGAGATACAATCAAACCAAGTACTTCATTTACACTAACCAACGCAAAACAATGAGATTATTTAAAGAGATTAAACTGAATGACAAGTCTTTTGAGTAAATGTAATTTAAACCCTCCAACAAAGATAGCCAAAAAACTCACATGGGTTATATGTTCATCTCCACTATAGATATCAAGTTTTTTAAGATGCAGATCTCATTCAATAAATTGCAAAACTTACATTATCATCATGCACATAACGGTTTGAGTTTCAAATGAAAACATGAATATGATACTTAAACATAGAATAAACTCCTACAAATTCCTTATATGCAAATAATTCAAGTTTCAAGTGAAAAATTTAAAAATCTCGTCATAATTAAGAAAGAATAATATAGTCCAAATTGGATGTGTTTTTTATTTTCATATATAGTTGCACTAAAAAAATATATTTTTTCATATTTACATTTTTTTCATTAGAGGATTCGAACCGTTGACTATAATTCCCTTGAAACAGTTAAAATTTATTAGTGCTATATAGGAGTATTGTTCATATGGTATTGTATATACGACAGATACTGTTCATTCGGTACTATTCATTAGTATGGTATACGATTACTATTTATTTGGTTCTATTCATAAGCGTATTATTCAGTACACAAGTACTATTTGTATAGTACTATTCAAGGAATAGTAATTGCACCAGTTTCTTAGACCTCGCCAGATTAAGTTTTGAAGTCATGACGACAAAACTTTCAAATATCTCGAATGCTAAGTTTGAGGTGGAGAAATTTGACGGAAGGAACAATTTGGGATTTGGCAAGTCCAAGTCAAAGATGTTCTAATTTAACAGGGTCTACACGAAGCATTGGAGAGTAAACCTAATGATATGGATGACAACGACTGGAAGGATTTTGATCTCCAGGCATGCAATGCGATTCAGTTTTATCTGGTAAAAGAGATTATGTATAACGTCATACAAGAGAAATCGACTACAAATATTTGGTTGAAATTGGAAAGTTTATCCATGACGAAGTCTCTTACCAACCAATTATACCTAAAATGTTTTGTATGAAAAAGGTACATCCATGCACGAGCATCTTAATGAGTTTAGTAGAATTGTATTCGAACAACTAAACATGGATGTTAAGTTAGAAGATGAAGACAAATCCTTGATACTATTGTCCTCGCTAGTTGATTTGTACAAATATTTTGTCACCACAATGCTCTTCGAGAAGGATACCATTGAGTATGATGATATTATTTCATTACTTCTTTCAAAAGTGTTCAGAAAGAAGACTCTTGGTACTGACTCTTAGGTAGAGGGTCTATTCACCAGAGGAAGGACTGAGAATATAAATCCCGGAAGTAGCAGATCCCAATCTAAATCCAAAGTCATAGATAGAAAGAATTCTCAATGTCACTATTATCATAAGAATAGGCACTGAAAAGCTGATTGTCCGAAGCGTAAAGCTAAGGATAAAAACAATAAAGATAAGGTGTTGACATTGTCAATGTTGCTGAAGACAATTCGGATAATGCCAACAATGTTTTGTCAGTTTCACCTAACAATATAAATGTGTCAGACAGATGGATTCTTGATTCTGGTTACCATATATGTCTTAAAAGGGACTGGTATGTAGGAAGTGAACAGTGGCACTATTTTGATGGGTAATAATATGGCTTGTAAAATAGTTAGGATAGGAACGATCAGAATCAAATTGCATGATGGAATTATGAGAACTTTAACAAAGGTCAGACATGTTCCAAATTTAAAGAAAAACCTTATCTCGTTGGGTGCACTAGACTCCAATGGGTGCAATATTCTGACCCAAGGTGCATTATGAAAGTTGTTCGAGGTGCTCTAGTCGTGATGAAAGGAAACAAGGTAGAAAATCTATATTTTCTATTAGGTAGTACAGTGACATATGATGCAGCAGTGTCTACATCAAGAGACAGTAGTTCAATCTTTACTCATCTATGGTATATGCATTTGAGTCATATGAGTGAGAGGGGATTGGAAGTGTTAAACAAAGGAAGGCATGTTTGGTCGCATCAAGATGACCAAGTTGGATTTCTATGACATTGTGTCTTTGGCAAGCAGTGCAAGGTCAAGTTTAGCACAGCTATCTGGTGCACTAAAGGCACTCTTAACTACATCCATTCGAATGTTTGGGGTCCCTCAAAGGTAGTATTAAAAGAGGGATCCAAATACTTTGGTTACCTTTATTGATAACTTCTCCCACAAATTATGGGTATATTTTCTGAAGACTAAGGATGTAGTCTTTGAAACTTTAAAGAAATGGAAGACCATGATGGAGAAGCAAACCAGCAGGAAAAACAAACAATTGAGAACTAACAATGCTGGTGAGTAATCGTACAAGCCATTCTTGACGTTTTATGAAGATGAAGGTATTTCTAGACACTTCTCTATAAAAGGAATGCCACAGCAAAATGGGGTCGCATAATGTATGAATCGAACCCTTTTGGAGAGAGCATAGTGTATTCTATCCAACACCAGATTGGGTAGAGAATTTTGGGCTAAAGTTGTCAACCCAACGTGCTTTCTTGTCAATCAATCACCATCAATAGCTATAAAGTGTAAACTCCTCATGAAGTATAGTCTAGTGAACCAGCTATTATAGTTCCCTTAAAGTATTTGGGTGTCCAGCTTATTTTCATATCAAAGAAAGTAATATTGATCGAAGGGCTAAGAAGGGAATCTTTCTCAGTTACGGAACTGGAGTGAAGGGGTATAGATTTTGGTACCTTGAATTGAACAAGTTTGGGATTAGTAGGGATGTGACCTTTGATGAGTCTACTATGCTAACTTCCAGCAAGCAGAAGGACATTTAGCTAGAGGAGGAAAAGGGTGATCCTGTGGAGGTGTAGCTTAGTACTCCATAAGATATTGTTCCAAATGAAGGGACATTAGAAGAGCAACCACAACAACCATCTTTAGCAGTTGGGAGAACTAGAAGGACAGTCAAAGCACTAGTTCAATATAGTTTTTGAGATATGTTATCTTATGCACTTACCATGGTGGTTGATAAGTCATTGACATTCCAAGATGCAATAAATGAAAATAATTATAGAAAATGGAAAATCGTCATGAATGAGGAGATGAATTCTCTTCACAAAAAGCATACTTGGGAGCTCTTCAAATTGTCAAAGGGAAAGTGAACAATTGGGTGAAAGTAGGTGTGCACAAAGAAGGAAAGGTCTCCAAGAACAAATGACATCAAATAAAAAGCATGGTTGGTGGCCAAGGTCTATGCAAAAAGAAAGGGTGGATTACAATAAGGTATTTTCACCAGTGGTGAAACACATTTCAATCTGTGTTAGTGGCCACCGTAGCTCAGTTTGATCTTGAGCTAGAGTAGTTGGATGTCAAGATTGCATTTCTCCATGGGGATTTAGAAAAGGACATCTTCATGACTCAGCCTGAAGGTTTCAAGGTTGCTGGTAAAGAAACTCATGTATGCAAAGTGAGGAAGTCATTGTTTGAGCTAAAACAATGGCCAAGATAGTGGTACAAGAGGTTTGACACATTCAAGTTGAAACAGAATTACACCAAGAGTGAGTATGACCATTGTGTGTACTTTAAGAATCTACCTGGTGATTCATTTGTCTACTTGCTTTTGTATGTTGATGTCATTCTCATTGTTGCTAGGAGGATGGATGAAATCAACAAGTTGAAATACCCACCTAGCAAAGAGTTGAGACGAAGGATCTGGGTATAGTTAAGAAGATTCTTGANCATGGATGAAATCAACAAGTTGAAATACCCACCTAGCAAAGAGTTTGAGATGAAGGATCTGGGTATAGTTAAGAAGATTCTTGAAATGAAAATTATGAGAGATAGGAAGAAGGGTAGATTGTGCTTGTCACAATGAAAATACTCTCTTAGTTTGGTATGGAGAACTCAAAGTCGGTGACTACTCCTTTAACTGCCCCTAGTCTAGATGGCTTCTGTAGAAAGTTCTTCCATGTATGTTGGTCTATTGTTAAGCAGGACATTCTTCAAGCAACCAATTTCTTTCTGGATGGGGGTGTCATTCCTAGGTTAGTAAATGCCACTCTTTTATCTTTGATCCCANTACACCCATCAACAGAGACTTCAGTAAATAGTTGGTTATGAGTCGCTACAATTTGTACAATATTTTTTAGAGTTTCGTTAAGGTGTCAAAATATTATTTTTTGGTACCATACTTTAAAAATTGGAAAAAAACTGCTTACACGTGTGGCTGCTGGGATTCAAGCCCGGCCGCAACACAGATTTCTAACAACTAAACTACAGCCACTAGTCTAATTACTTGGTCTAGTTGTTTTTACTACTGTTTAAGTGAACGCATGTAATTTTTTTTTTGGTTGGGGAAGCGGGGGATGCAGTGAACACATGTAATTATTAACAGCAGACACAATCATTTTCCATTAATTATTTCGACGGAAATAAAAAAATAAATCATTTACTACCAAACTGAAAACTCTTAAAGACAAACATGACAAAGACAGAAGTTAAGAGACGAAGATGATACTAAATGCATACTCCGAGAACTACCGATGTATCCCAAAATAAAAAAGAGTCGAGTCATTTCATTCTTATTCCCTCGTCAAAATATATCTGACTTGAGAATCATCTCGCAGGTCTCCCGCAACCTTGTCTTGCACAAAAACCGTGTGAAAGAGAATACTCCAACCTCTATAAATTTCCACCGAAATTCAAACATTACACACAAATGAGTTTGCAGATTAAAAATAAACATTAACAATAGGAGAGGCCTCTGGTGCAGCACGAAACTGTAAACCAAATCCACAAATTTAACAGAGACTCACATTACAAATTTAACGATTCAGCTAATTATAGACTAGACAACACTTAACTGAAACCCGAGTTCGGGCACAAAGACCAGTATTCTGAGTCTGTGACAGATGATTCCAGAGTACAGAGAGAACAGCTTTATTTAATGTTTGATAGAAGCAGCCTCGAAACTCCACTCCTTTTCTCCCTCCTCTTTCTCTTCCTCTTCCCAGCAGCATTTTAGAATAGACCTAGGAGATCCACAATCCAGTGTCTTCATAAACTTCTGGTACACAATGGAACCAGTTCTAAGCTCTTCATGGCTCTTCTCAGCAAGACTGTAACCCTTCACATCCAAATAGCAAGCCTGCTCAAGAAACTTGCAAGCAACATCAGCATGCATCGCAACAGAAAACTCGGTCGGTCGGAAACAAGCCAACACCCGTCCAATCAGCTGACCCACGTTTAGAACTTGAAAATCATATCCAACAGCTTCAAAGCTTGCGTAACTGAAACCATCTTCCGGTGTGACATGAATTGTAGAAACTGCAGCTCCTTCAGTAGAATTCATAGAATAACCACAAGGATCAAACTCAAAATCACATATTTGAGAATCTGGAAGAATCTTTCTTATACCAGAGTCATTGGTCATCAAACCTGCTGAGCCTGACTGGCATTTGTAAAAGACAGAAGTCATCTCCCTGTCCAAACCAGTCATACACATCTCTAGTGTGTAAACAGGGTCAAGAGATTGGTAAGATTCAGCAGAAGCAAAGTAGATATGCCATTTCTGTGATTTGTCAGAATTGCCCATTACAAAAGCCTTGCTGCCTGAACCAAGCTTCTCAAAGTAGCTATCAAGTACAGAAACCTCTTCTGAGAATTTACGATGAGGATATGACTGAGCTCCAGGGAAGATGAAGCTCCCACGAGTGTATCTGACGGACCGAACAGTGAGGGAAAGTGAATCAGCCAACTTCAGGATGGGTGCAATTGAAAAGAGCAACTTTGTTGTCCCACATGTTTTGATGATTATCTTGTAAGGATAAACAAAGAGGCTTGACTCAGAGAGGACATAAGAGTCGACATGGTCATTTGACAGTGAAGCGACAATAGTGCACTCAGCAGGTTCCAGAATCTCATCCAACTGAGCTTTGGAAAGAGATCGAAGACCCTTCCCTTCGGGATCAGCAAAGATGCTTGGCTCAAAAAACGAAATTTCAATCCTCTTTTCATAACCTTCAAAACCAATTGCAGAGATTGGCAAGTCCATATCTACTACAGAAAATGTTTACAGCTACGAATAGAGCAAGTAAGAGAGCGATTGGGGTGGGAAAAAAAAGGTGTGAGGAGATCAAAAGAAAAACTAAATTAAAAGTTTATTTCAACCACGTCATCAACCGTGGTCTGGGCTCCAACTTAGGGATATCAGGATGGTTTGCGAACACACTGCACATAAAAATATAAAAGCATAATGTCAGGATTATTTGAAATTCAAACATAACCCTAAGAAGGAACTCCAGGAAATGTGAGAATATTCATAGCATGCGTATGCAACTAGGCATATTATCCCCCAATACTCACGTTAGAGTACGCAGCAGATCTGAACTTCTTGATTCCACCGTTGGGTCGAATGTCTTCAATGCAGTATCCAAGGGGAGCTTCATAGAATAAGGATTTACTAGACGACTTCTTCCCACCTTTAGTCTCCATTAGATCATTCAATCTTCCTGTTCAAATCATCAAACAGAACCAATGTGTCATAACTCATAACTGATTATAAGCCAGTAAGTAATTTAGAAAGCAGACATCCAAAATAAGAAAGGGAAATGCATTCTAATGGTAACTCATAAGGCAAAAATTGAAGAAGTGTAAAACCAGAGTCAAGTACACTCCTAGAAATTACAGTAATGAACTGATAGCAATACCAGTTCTCTATGCACCAATATTGCCTTTATATTATGCATAGCACATATGAGTGCTGAAATATAGAAATATAAGGACGGTCAAAACATAGAACTCAGGATAGATGTTTCAGTCATGGTCTCTTTAATAACTGCAACAACACCAATTTCAGATTAAAATGGAACAATGACAACATTAGAGGCCATCAGGAATTAAAAAATAAAAGATGTTTACAAAACAAGTTGTAATATATGTAAACTGAACAAACAATTCAAATATGAAGCAGTCTATGTATTAGAGAATATTGCCCATGAAAAAATGCATACTTCTATGCAACACAGCCACTAGTGAATTGGGCCTCCACAATTCCAAAATTACAATCCCCCAGAGTATGGCAAGTGTGAAGATCCAAAAGGAAATGTAGTCCTGACAAATTTCAGCTCAACGGGTTCACTATTTTCCTTTTTCCCAAAAAAGCACAAAAGAAAGCAATCCTGATAAAAAGGCAGGCTGATGGGAAATGGCGGAGCAAATATTTCACTGGGCATTTTTAAATGCTTTCCCTCCAATCAATGGAAAGGACATGGCTCAAAATAGTTTTACTCCATGCATTTATAAATATCCCTCTAACTGCAAGGAGTCATATGTAGTTTGACTAATACTTAATTTAAACTAGCTAAAATTTCATATAGCATGCTGATCTTCCCAGTGGGCATATAACATCATGTTAGATTACCCAATTTCAATTATTCCTTGAAGGCTAAAGCCAGATCCACAAGACCCCTTTCAACATGTCCTATATCCTCCCTCCCAAGTATCAACATGTCCCATTCCCTTGCAAGTCTCAATGTATACCAGTTCTTTTAAACCTTCTTTTATTGCACCAAAATTTATCCATTCCATACGCAAATATAACGATTGGGAAGTATTGGATTCTATCCACAAGAAGCATTCATACACAACAGATGCACATTACCACTATCAAGCATCCTCTTCAACACGAAACAGAATAATATCATGACTTTCACAAATCCAAGACATGAAATCTGGGAACCTCTCAGACGGCTTAACAACATAAAGTAAACCCTAACTTACAAACCAAAAATTCAGAAATTTGAAAAACAAGAAATCAAGGATCCTGGTTTAATAACCAGGAAATCCCAGATTTCAAGAATCTAACAAATCCATACTTCACTTGGGGATTTCACACACACATTGACACCCAAAGCCCCAACACCTCCTTTCTAATTAACATGAAAATCATGGATAACAAGTGTATGTACGCATGGGCGCAGAAAAACAAGGATAAAAGCACGCATACAATATTCAAGAATAAAGGTTGATTTACATAATAATATCCACAGAATTTATATTTAAACGTTTGACAAAATACATTATATGATAAAAATCTCATATTCAAAGTCTGAAATCCGAAACCATGGCATGATATGACAACAAAAATCCTTATTGAAAAATCACAAGTATCAATTTCAATTTTCACGGAACATTAATAAGTTTAAAAAAACAGGAACTAAACTTAATCAACAAATATCAGCAAAACAAACAATCCAGTCATTATTAACATAACCACACTTATTTCGATATCAAATTCGAAACGGGCCAGAGATTGCTAAACACTCACAAAACACAGCATATATGAGTAGCCGTGTGGATTTTGAATATTTATGATGTGACTTACAGATATGAACAGTCGTTATGATGATGCAGAAAATACTCGAAACCCTAGATGATGGACTGCGTTTGATCTTTGTTAGCGATAGGGTTTGATTTTCCCGTTCGGCTGCGTGGAGCTATGGAATTACGGTGGAACACAAAAACTAGGCAAGTTGGTGGATTTAAATACGCAGTGGAGAGTTATTTGCCATTGCTTTGCTCGTGATATTACAGGCATGCCGCTATGGTTTGTTATTAATATTCAATGATAAAGATTATATTATATTATTTAGGATAAAAAAAATTAATAAATATAACATTACCATTAAAAGTTTGATATGAATGATTCAATATGAAACTCGAGAAAAAATTGATGTAATTCTAAAAATTTTATTTGACTAAATTTTAATTGATTATATCTAAATTTAAATTAAAATTTTTTAAATAATCACTTAATTTTTTTAATATTTATATAAAAATTTCAAGCTCAGATCATACTTAAATTGGATACAAGTTTATCCAAATTAAACTCTGTAAAATATAATATAACGAATTCAAATTCTCGATAAACAAAATCAATATATATTCGGGACAAAGAGAAGGCAATATGTAACGATTTGAATTTTTGAAAAATAATGCTAGATGAATTTAAAAATTAAATTTAATAATTTTAACAATTGAATAGGTAGTGAATCTTAATAAATACCAAAATTCGTAATAAAATTAATAGTTATAATTATTAAATTTAATTTTTAAATTTATTTTTTAAGTAGGCGTATCATTGCTCATTTCTAAATTGGCCAGCTATGGAAAAACATCAGACATGGTGGGCTATCCATGGCCATGGAAAGACATAAGTTAGATCCGTGTAGTAAAGTATAAAGTGTTCCTCCAAAAATGTGTACCTAACCCTTTTGCCTTTTTTTTTTTTTTTTAGAGATATGTCATCTATATCATGATTAAGATATTTAAGAGAGATAAATTTTTTATAACCTAATCTTAAAAAATTACTAAAATTTAAACTCACAATATTTAAATTTATAACTTATTTTTGATATCACTAGACTACTTAAATTTAATCTTTTGGCTTTTTTTTCTGGTTAAAAAAAATAGGTGGGGACAAGAAAGAGAGTCCAGCGACCACCTCGATAGGCCCTCACCAATGGAATTATAAGGCTTCTGACCGCTCCTAGAACACTTCTCAGGATTAGACCTAATTAGGCTAACATAGTGGCTAACCACCAAGCCTCAATGAAGACTCCAAGATTCGAACTTTTCAACTTCAAAGTGAAGAGTAGAAGTGCAATTCGAGCGGGTTGGACAGTCAACTCTAACTCAATCCTAGGTAAATAATCTTCAACTCTAACTCCAACCCTAACCCTATCTCAAGTTGATAAACCCAACTCAAACACTACCTGAGTTTAAATCAGCCGGGCTCAGATTGAATTTAAATTAATGATTTCAGGCTGATTTTAGGTTAATGTTTTAAATCTGATACATATATTACATAATATTCAAATAATTTAACAACTAACAACTTCAATCAAGTTTTTTAACATAAAAATCATAATATTAAGAACTCAATACAACCATAACCATACAGAACACAAAGTCACAAACATTGCTGCCAGTGCAAAACATAAACACTGCTGCCAGTTTAATAGAAATAACAACATTGTTGTCATTACAAAACATAACATTATTGTCTTGCACAGAACCAGTTTAACATAACACAAACATAAACAAAATACAGTTCATAAGGATAAGAAAATTATATTAACCCTAATATAAATTATAAAATTATATTTATATAATAGTAATTCGAGTTCAACCCATGAATCAGAGGGGTCAATCCGAGGTCTGTCCAAATTGAATTCAAATTAAAAAAATTTAATTTAAGTTCAATCCAAATCTTAATTTTTTTGTGTTGGACTCCGAGTGAAATCGGTTACCCAGCTAAAATTGCGCCCTTAGAAAAATTAAACGACACTAGTCGGTGGAATCTTTTGGCTTTGGGCGGTCATAACGATAGAATAAAGAAGTTGGGTGGGTCCAAGTGGAGAAAAATAAAAACGGAAAGTGCGAAAAGATGGCCATGATGTGTTTCAGACTTCCGTGACAATGTAGAGCTGTATTTTGTTTTCCTTCCGTGTGAGTCAAACAGCTGTGGGGTTCTCTTTATTTTCAACCATAAAAAAAGAAAGGTTATTTCATTAAATGTTCTTTATTTTTCATCCACTCATGTCTCTCTGCTAACATCCACACATTATTTTTCCTTAGAAACAAAACCCTTTATATAGGCCATACATCTCATTCGAACAATGATTGTAACTTGGGCGAGTAAATTGAATAAAAAAAGAAAGGTTATTTCATTAAATGTTCTTTATTTTTCATCCACTCATGTCTCTCTGCTAACATCCACACATTATTTTTCCTTAGAAACAAAACCCTTTATATAGGCCATACATCTCATTCGAACAATGATTGTAACTTGGGCGAGTAAATTGAATAAAAAAAGAAAGGTTATTTCATTAAATGTTCTTTATTTTTCATCCACTCATGTCTCTCTGCTAACATCCACACATTATTTTTCCTTAGAAACAAAACCCTTTATATAGGCCATACATCTCATTCGAACAATGATTGTAACTTGGGCGAGTAAATTGAACTTAACTTGAGTTCAGACACCCATTTTTACACGACGAGGGAAAGGAGAGGGACTTGAATCATCAACACGTCAATCTATTATGAAGGGTTTTAGAGGTCCAATCATTCGTGGAAGACTTTGGTCCTTCACCTCCATAGACAACCATACAATTACATATTGAGGATTCGACTCGTATTAGTGATTGCAGGTTCACTTGAATTGTGAAACCTGATAACTAAACACAAAGTTTAATCCAAAACTTTAATCTGATATTGAATCTAGTTTTTAGTACGAGTTTTTCTGTAGCCCAAATTAATTCTGGTTTTAAAATTTTAAAAATTAATATTTTTTGAATTAAACCTTAAATAAAATTTAACTCCGGTTTAGTGTTGTACAACTTTGTTTCTCTGCATTTCTAGCTTTTTAAAATTAAATTCCTACGCCAAAACCCAACCCATGAGAGTCAAATCAACCCTATTCACTTTCACATGGCACTTTAGCCCTCGCCTATAGAGAAAATATTGCGTGTCATGATGGGTACCGTCTAATAATAAAATAACAAATAAATAAATAGAATTCGCACAATTAAGTAGTTATTCATTCATATAATGTAATAGAGGAAGTGGTTAACTGTAAATCAAAAAAAATAAAAAATATAATGCAATTGACACATCGTGTCAAGATATGGATTCATTTTTTTGAGCTTGACTAGACACATGAGCAAGACCTTCAATCGCAATCTTCATAATCATAATAGAATTATTATTTAGTTTTTTTTATTCATTAGGTTGTAATTTGAAAAAAATTAAAGGTTTTTTTTTTTNAACTTGGGCGAGTAAATTGAACTTAACTTGAGTTCAGACACCCATTTTTACACGACGAGGGAAAGGAGAGGGACTTGAATCATCAACACGTCAATCTATTATGAAGGGTTTTAGAGGTCCAATCATTCGTGGAAGACTTTGGTCCTTCACCTCCATAGACAACCATACAATTACATATTGAGGACTAGACTCGTATTAGTGATTGCAAGGTTCAACACTTGAATTGTGAAACCTGATAACTAAACACAAAGTTTAATCCAAAACTTTAATCTGATATTGAATCTAGTTTTTAGTACGAGTTTTTCTGTAGCCCAAATTAATTCTGGTTTTAAAATTTTAAAAATTAATATTTTTTGAATTAAACCTTAAATAAAATTTAACTCCGGTTTAGTGTTGTACAACTTTGTTTCTCTGCATTTCTAGCTTTTTAAAATTAAATTCCTACGCCAAAACCCAACCCATGAGACTCAAATCAACCCTATTCACTTTCACATGGGCACTTTAGCCCTCGCCTATAGAGAAAATATTGCGTGTCATGGTGGGTACCGTCTAATAATAAAATAACAAATAAATAAATAGAATTCGCACAATTAAGTAGTTATTCATTCATATAATGTAATAGAGGAAGTGGTTAACTGTAAATCAAAAAAAATAAAAAATATAATGCAATTGACACATCGTGTCAAGATATGGATTCATTTTTTTGAGCTTGACTAGACACATGAGCAAGACCTTCAATCGCAATCTTCATAATCATAATAGAATTATTATTTAGTTTTTTTTATTCATTAGGTTGTAATTTGAAAAAAATTAAAGGTTTTTTTTTTTTTTGTGTTGGTACATTTTTTTAGATTTATTTGAAAGAAAGTGTATGAATAAGTATTTTACTCTATTAAATTTAATTTTAATAAAACATCTCGTGATTAGATATAAAATTCAAATGACATTTAAATTTTTTTACTTACTCACCTTTCCTTAAATAATTTTTATTATTTCCATCTCTCTCCTTCTTTCTCCATTATTCTCTCTTCATCTCTTCCCTATTTTCTCTCCATCTTTCTCTCTTACCCTCCCTCTCTCTCCCTTATTTTCTCTCTCTATTTTTCATTGATAATTTATTTTTTTTCAATTATGTAAAGATTTGATTTGATTTTTTTATCTCTCTCTCTTATTTTCTCTCTCGCACACTCTCCCCCTATTTTCTATCACCATTCCTCTCTTCGTATTTTCTCTCTCTGTTTATATCAATATTATAACAACATAATTATACTAATTAGTTATATCAATCATTTATAATTGTTCTATAATAAATCAAACAGTTATTCATGTGTTATAATTACACCAAACAATTACAAAAATTATGGCAATAACTCAATTTATCATTCAATTGTTTATATAAACTAAAGAGTTACATCGTGTCACGACATGATTGTGTCAATTATATGTTGAAAATAATAGTATATGTATTTTTTTTTTAAAAATCATTAAGTAGTGAACGATAAATTATTAATGTCTATGACTTTTGGGAGCAATTGAAAACGTATGAAGTGAATATGACATTAAAGACTACTAATTTAAAATTGATAACTTTTGCTTAGAGATACAAATCCAAATAGTTACATCTTTTTATAAAGTCACAATTAACACCTTTTTGTTAAAGGACACTATTACAAATAATCACAACTTTTTATAAAATCACTATTGATATCTCTTGGATTAA